CATATTTTCATTCTGTTCTAAGTACACTGGTGTAAATAGTCCTTCTTATATGTATTTTACTTGGTGATTATCCTGTGCTATTTACCATGGGATAAGCAGGGTTTCAGAGTTACACACTTGTAATTGAGTCCTACCTTGTCACTTACTGAAGGCCACATAGTAACTAAAAGTATACTTTAAAGTACACTGTCGGATAGTGAAATACTGAGAGTTTACTCTGTGAACTAGAAACAGTCCAGTTTCTGCTATTTGCAAGCTATGTGATCTTGGACGTTTATTAAACATCTCTATCCCTTGGCTTTCTCATCTAGAGAACAAGATCTTGTTAGGTTGGAAAATGTTGTATGTGTCCCTTCTTAGGACACAGCCTGCCTATAGACAATCAATACCTTAGCTATTGTTAATACCGGCATCTGGCCTAAACTTTCTGTGCCTTCTCTATAAGCTGTGAACTTTGCAGGGCTGAGGAGTAAAGGTGTTTGTGTATATGTGAAGCCCCAGCACACATGGGCATGATCACGACAGCCATCAGTGTAATGAGCACGACACATCACTGATCACAACCGGGTTTCAGTTACCTCTCGCCAAACAAATGTCCTCAAACCCAGTGGTTTAGAACAGCCACCGTCGGCACCTGGCCCCTCACCTTCTCTGCATTTCCAGAGTTCCAGGGGTTGGGGGGTTGAGGGAAGGCTGAGCAGCTGCAGCCCAGGGATCTTGTTCATTAATAATAGCTGCAGTCACACCGGGGATGGATATGGAAGGCAAGCCTGGCCCGCACCCCGAGAGCTACGGCAGCGTCGGGTAGGCTCCCTCTGTGAGCTCTGTGCTTAATGCAGGTTTCCTGACACAGGGCCTTCAGAGCAGTGAGACCACTTGTGCGGTAGGTCAGGCCCCCAGGCTCAGGTGTTTCATTTCTAATGCCACATGCAAGGGGAGGGAGCACGTCCCCTTTTGATAGGGCAGTGTCGAGGTTCATGAGGACAAGAGGGACCAGAGTCTTAGAAAAATGGATTCTTCTACAGAGAGCTTCTGGGACCAGGCACACTGAGGAGGAGGCGGCTTTGAGAAGTGGTCACTTCCATAGGAAGGTGCCAGCCCTCTTTAAGCCAAAGACCAGGGGAGTGGGATGTCAGGGGAAGCAGAATTTGCCAGCTGCGCCACTCATCTGGCCCTCACCTGAACACATACCACATCTGCACATTCACCGAGCATGTGCTGTTGCTGGTATTACTCCTGACTTGGATTGTTTTATTTAATCCTCACAATAGACCTCTGAGGTGTATATGGAAGATTCAGTAAGTTAAATGATGTCCTTATGGCCCCTGGCTATAGAGGGAGAGGCCAGGTTCACACCTGGCACCTCTGTCCTTCCCCACTAGCCCAGGCTGCTGTGAAAAGTATGGTGTCTTGTGTCCTGCAGGGATAATTTATCTGAGGATATGGTTTTATCCACTAAATGTGCTAATGTCTTTATTCAGCTTATTTTACCAAGTTATCAAGGTGGAAAGATTGAAATAAAGTAAATTTAATTCAATAAAAAATATTCCTTTCCTAATAACCGTAAAGAATGGGGAAAGGTGAGGAAATCTGATTCCCCAAACCTGTTTGTTGCCACTTGTGTGCGTATTTCAAAGGAAGTGAGGCATTTTAGTGGCCGGGATAGTCAGTTATTTTTGAGCCATAGTGTTTCTTTTAATGCAGTTTATTCAATTATAACATACCTTCTGCTTTATAGCTAGCTAATGGGCTTTGTGGAAAAGACGCTTTTTATACATCACTCATTTTTCTTTCTACTTCTGAGCACTGTCATCTAGAGCAGTTTTTTAAAAGATAGCTTTATTGAGGCATTGTTACTATATTAAAATTGCGTATTTTTGAGGCATACACCTTGATGCTCTGATGTAAGTTCCATTGTGAGATGATCACCGTATTCCAGCTAATTAACATACCTCTGTTATCACGTGTGGTGAGAAGATTTAACTGTAGATCCACCCTCTCAGCACATTTCACATACACCACACAGTATTGTTAGCTTTCGGCCTCACGCTGTACACAAGATGTCTGGAACTTGTTCATCTTGCACAGTGAGGCTTTGTACCCTTTGACCACCATCATCCCATTGCCCTCTTCCCCAGCCCTGCCAACCACAATTCCGCTCTGTGCTTCCATGAGTTTGACTGTTCTGGACGCCACATATAAGTGCAGTCATGCAGTATTTCTCTTTCTGTATCTGGCTCAGCAGAACTCAACTCCAGTTCCATCCACTTTCCTTTATAAAAATTCCATGACCTGAGAAGAATGTACTGATTTTGACCTTTTCTACAGAAATGTTTATTTTAAGAGTACATGTGGTTTTTATCCTTGATTTCTCTTGCAGGCACCGTAGGACCCCGGGGGCCACAAGGGATTCCTGGTCGTCCAGGAATTCCAGGGGCACCTGGTGTTCCTGGGAAAGCTGATTCTGCTCCAGGAAAACCTGGGAAGCCAGGACCACCCGGCCTGCCTGGAGCACCAGGACTGCAGGGACTCCCAGGATCAGATGGTAAAGAACTTCTTGTTCACATTCGCTAGAATTTATACTGCATTTGATACTAGTAGTTGTATTCTGAAAGTATGACTTTCTAAATATTTAAAAAGTTATGCAACATTTCATGGGCTGAGTTTATAAAAATAAAACTCTTACAAATAAATGAGGTTGGACTATCACATTGAAGTGTGTACAATTATGTGGTTGGGAGTTTAAGTATAACTGATAGAATTTTGAAAATTAATACAATTTTTATTTTTTAAAGGTAGTTTTAATTTTTATCAGAGTTACATATGGGCCAGATTTAAGAGTCAAACTTTTCTATAAGGACTGTTATAAAGAATTAAAATTCTAGGCAGCCTCTTCTCCTAACCTTCCCTTTCTAGGGGGCATTTATCTCAACTCATTTTGTTGAATCTTTCTGTTATATGCCCTGATATTGCCATTCAACATGCTTGCATTGCTATTTCTTATTTTTCAGTTTGAGCATTTTCTCTTTTCTTCCTGGTACAGATGAGTTGAGCTCTCGTTCACCACAACCCTACCCC